ATATTTTATTTTTCCTTTGGTCGTTTTGTGTCCGTGGCTATCTTGTGTCTTCTTGTGATTATTTCAAGATGCCCTGTGGCCAGTTTGTCTTCCTTTTAGTCATTTTGTGCGTGTTTTGGCAATTGTAAGTCTTGTTGTGGTTGTCTTGTGTCTCTTTGTAGTCTTTTATTAACTTTCCAGCACTAAATTTTATCAGTTACTTCAAACTGCGGCTCAGATCCGGTGTTTAGTGGTTCTGCTTTACTTTAAACCTTCAAGAAAAAGCTCACAACTTAGATTTTTTATATTTTGGCTGTAATGAGATTAGAAAAAATAAACAGAAAAAGGTTGTTGTATTAGCAATTTGGTTAATTATGTATACTTTTTAAATATATATATATACATACATAAAGCAATGGGGTCTGGAAAATCCCAAAAGGTGGTGAAACCAGTTTTAACGAAACATGAAGATTTAAAGTCAACAAAGTCTGTGTGACATCAACCCCAGACTCCCCCAAACGTCCTGACCAGGAAACACATTCTTACATCGTTATATACAAGAAGTTTGGAGTGAAACAGCACAATCAGGTTTGTCCCTCTGACAGAAACATGCAAGTGCAATAAATCTGAACAATGTGGGTCGTTTTGAGACACCCATCGCTCCAGTCAGGCTCATGACTGCACCAACAGAAAGACTTCCCTTGTGCAGGAAACGGGTGTGTTTGCATGTAAAGTCTCTTTACTGGAAGCTGTGAAGCAGCAAACGTTGGCATGCAGGTAAACATGAGCTTTAAAATGACATGTAGCTGCATCATGAGATGAAGCACTAAAAGTCCTCAGTGTCAGTCAGGAATGTGGCGGAGCTGCATGTGACGTGATGCACATGTGACACATGTACATTATATTTTAGTTTGTTTTCTTGCCGGGAAACAAATGTAGAACACGACAGCACAGTTTATGTGTTTCTGAATTTATTTAGGTTTGTGTGAAAGGAAATATCAAGGAGAGGATGCAACACGTAGAAGGTGGCATTTACAAGGTTGTGACAAATTCTGAATATTTAGTGACCCTGGAAGAAAGATCGTACAGTTGTGAACAAATGTTTACAAGGTCATGTCTATCACGGCAGTCCTCAGTTTCCAGTGACTCCTAAAGCTCTGAATTTTCAATGATGGAATTATTGAAACACAAAAAACAACAATGCATTGTTGTTCTTTCATAGATTGATTAGAGGTCTTCTGGAAACATCTGCTGAGTCAAAACTGTCCAAACAGCAATGATAATGTTTGCTAGTAGGTTCATTTGGTTTCCATCCACAAGTTTCTGGTTGTATCTTTGACTCCTCTGGACAGAATTGGTGAAGTTCAGCTTCATCAGGCCACAGGTTCTTGATGGGCTTAAGTCAGGACACCAGTCTGAACCCATCATTCTAGCCTGACTTAAACATTTCTTACCTCTTTGATGTGTCTTTGGAGGTCTTGTTGAAACACCCATCTGCATCCAAGGCCCCTCTGACTGATGATGGCTTTAGGTTTTCCTGAAGAATCTGGAGTTAATCCTCCTTCTTCATTACTCCATTTACTTTGTGTAAAGCTCCCATCCAGAGCTTGATGCTGCCACCTCCATGCTTGATGGTAGGTTTTGGTGTTCTTGGAGTTAAAGGCCTCAGCTTCTCTCCTCCAAACATATTTCTGCTCATTGTGGCAAAATGAGACAGAACTTTCCTCCAGAAGGTCTTTTCTTTGTCACTGTGATCAGCAGCACACTTCAGTGGAGCTTTAAGGTTCTGCTTCTTGAGGAAGAATTTCCTTCTTCTTGTAGCCTCTCAGCTCATGTTGATGTCAAACACTGACAGCTGTGTTCCAGCAGCTTCTGATTCATTGCAGAGCTGCTCTCTGCTGATTCTTGTTGACCATCCTGACCAATCGTCTCTCAGCAGCAGGTGATAGTTTGTGGTTTCTCCCTGGTTGTTGCAGCGACACAGCTCTACCATGAACTCTGTACAGTTGATTTTGTGATCTGAAGCTGCTTTGAAATGGCTCCAAGTGACTTTTCTGACTTGTTCAAGTCAATGATTTGTGTTTTCAGATCTTTGCTGAGCTGCTCAGACTTTACCACCGTAGCTTGTGAATGAGTCCAATCAGATGGGCCTTAATTAAACTGGTCCAGAGGAGTCAGCAGCTGTAGTCAGAACATTTAATGAACACAACTTTCTACATCATCAGAACTGATTATTCAACTTGCTCTGTATATACTGTATGTATATATATATATATATATATATAGTGACAAAGACACGTGCTATTTGTATGTCATGAATTTAATTATAAATGATAATAAAGCAAAGTGAGAACTTTTGACCCTCATTTGTAAGTTAAGCAGCAAT